GGACCTGCTCCCTGACCTGCTGCTCCCCACCAGCCCCTCACAGCCGCCCCGACGCCGAGGGGATAGACGTGCATGTCCTGGGACCGGGAGTCCGCTTGCCTCCGGGAAGCTGCACTTTGTAGCAGCAACCTGGTCCCTGCATTTGGCTGGGGAATATTAGCAGCATTCAGCCTGGCACGAAGTCCTCCCCTGTTTCAGCCTCTCAACTTCTCCATCTTGGTCCTCTCCTTTCTCCCTCGCCCCCGTTTCGCACGCCCACGCGTGTGCGGACACACGTTTAGGCGCAGGCTGCCCTGCGCCCAGGCGATGAGGGGCTGCGGGGCTGGAACAAGTGTCCATGCCTACAGATGGACGCAGCTGCCCATCTGAAGCACGGGCACCAGCCACCCGGCACAGCACCCCGAGCCCGCCACCACGCCGCCGAGCCGCTCTGAGGGGAACGTGGCCTCACGCCCCAGATTTACACGCCAGCTCCGAAAAAAGGCACAGAAACCAAAACACAGGCACACGCCTGCTCACTTTTGCACCCGCTTTACAGCCACACGCTCGGTGAGACATGGAGCATCCCTCTGCCCCGCACGGAGGACCTGAAATCTCCTGCTCCACCCTCGGGTGCTCAGTGCCCCCCAGGATCGCCTTGCCATGCACAGGCGTTTCTGTTTGCACACACATGCACAGACACATGCACCCTGATCCAGGCACACGCGATGACACCTCGACCTGCCGAGCTGAGCCCTCCCCAGCAGGAGAGTCAGGTCAGGGCTGTGGCTCACCCAGGGGGCACCTGCGCTGGGACAGGGGCAGGGGTGGGAGACACCCTGAGTCTGTCCAAGAGCCGCCGGGATTCTCCGGGGGCTGCCAGGCAGGCTGGGTCTCCTGCAGGACTAGCCAAACCCCAGTGAATCCACACAGAGGAATTCCCTAAAGAAATGTGAGGGGCACCCGCCGCTTTGGCTTTCCTCCTCGGCTGTCCCATCTCTCCTCCCGGCTGCAGAAGTTCCCAGGGGAGCCGGCAGCATCCTCGTTCGGGAGCGGCTTTTCCATAAGAGGGGCTGCCGCCCCCTCCCTGAGCAGCTCAAGCCCCCTGGGGTGACCCGAGCCCCTGGCCAAGCACCCATCTGCAGCCACCCGAACTTGGGAAGGGACGGAACGGGCAGGGCTGGGGCTGGCAGCCCCCATCCTAACCTGAGTCCCCCCCACCGCTCCCCGGTGTGTTTGCTCCGTGCCTGTCTCCTTTCCCCCATCTCTGGCGGTTCCCAGAGCCGCTGAGGCTCTTCCCCAGCCAGGGCACAGCCCCACTCCGAGCATCCCAGCCCTGACTCCAACTTACTTGCCCAGTTCCTCGAAGAGCTGATACTCCTCGGTGAAGCGATTGCAGGTGATGGTGGCCATCCCGAGGGGCTGGAAATGCTCCCTCCCCAGTGCGGAGTTTGGGGCAAGCAGCTCTCCTCTCGCTCCCTCCCTCTCCGTGTGCTCCCGGGGCTCTCTCCTCGCCGAGGTAAATAAGGGAATATGTTTGATTGACAAGCCCGGAGATAATGATGAGGGCAATTTGTCTTCTCAGCTTCACAAGCCTTCGTCAGCATCCCCGTCCCCATGGCGACCACTGCTGCCAGAAACGCCCTGTTTCTGTTGCCGGGGCAACTGCTTCCCAAACCCGCCGCCCGCCCATGGGGACAAGGGCCCTGCTGGGGACCCGGCCCCGGGGCTGCCCGGGGCTCACCCAGCCGCTGCAGGGGGGGGGGGAGTCTAAAATGGAAATATTAAAGGCAAGTTAAAGGGTG